ATCCCTGGCCCCTCCCGGGGCTCCCCGAGCCCGCCGCGCGGGGGCGCTGCGGTGCCCGCTCCGTGCCGGGTCCATCCGCGGCCTCGCAGCGCCCTCTGCCGGCCGCCGCGGGAGGCGCGGGCACGGGGCGGCGCGCGCTCCCGCCGGTCCGGGCGGGGGCGTGGCCCCGCCCACCGTGAAGCCGCTTCCGCCCGGCGAGGTTGCGTCATCAGTGTGCGCCGGGCGGGAGCGGCGCCGGGAGCGGGAGCGGAGCCGCTGCCATGGCCGGGATCCTCTTCGAGGACATCTTCGACGTGAAGGACATCGACCCGGAGGGCAAGAAGTTCGACCGCGGTGAGTCGGGCCCAGCCCGCTTCTCCCGGCCCTTCCCGCCGGCGCTGGCCGCTCCGCGTGTTGGCAGCCCCGGAGCGCCGCCGCGCTTCCCCCAGGCTTCCCCGGCCCGGCTGCCGTGCCGCCCGCGGGCCCCGTGCCTTGCATCCCTCGCCCCACCGTGTTCCTCGCCCTGCTGTGCACAGCTCCGCCAGCTACCGGGCTCTGCCTCCATCCCAGCCCCGTCTGAGAGCGGCTCCGGTGCCCGCCTGGGCTGGGAGGATCACCCTGTTCCCACCCAGCCCTCGGGGATCTTCTGTGTCCTTGTCCTGACTCTGCTGATGTCCCCAGTGTCGCGCCTGCACTGCGAGAGCGAGTCCTTCAAGATGGATCTGATCCTGGACGTGAACATCCAGATCTATCCCGTGGATCTCGGTGAGCCAGCGGGCACGGGGCGGGGCTGCCGGTGTCAGCTGGGGCGGGCGAGGTTGGAGGGGATGGAGTCAGGAATGGCTGTGATCGAGGAATCAGCTGCCTCAGGCTTCCTTGTGCCCCAGCGTTGTCCCCAGGTGGCCGGAGGTTCGAGGCACTCTCGGTGTACTGAGGCTGAGCTGGGTTCCTGCTTCACCTCCCTGTGTTTGTTTGGGCTCACCTCTGCCCCTTTCCACACAGATGCTGTTTGGGGGAGCTGCTTCAGCTGGTGGTAACCAGGCTTTAAGGGAGACCTCCTGAAATTAACTTCTGCAGCTAAATATACTAAATATGTGGGAAAGAGAATATTACCCTTGATGAAACACAGAAGGGCTGAAGCTGATGCTGCAGGGGGCTCATGTACCTGCCCAAGGGTCCAGCCAAGCTCTCTGTGGGGGCAGAAGTGAATATTTTCTTGTATGTCCTGAGAACACCAGCAGTGGTGTCCTTGTGGCTCTGGTTTCCTCTGTGATGTGGGTTACAAGGAGACACAGGATCCAGTGTGACCTTTCACATGTTCCCCACAGTCCTGTTGGAGGACTGGCAGCAGGGACAGAGCCTGCTTGGCACCCCCTGCCAGGGTGGCCCTGCGTTCTGGCTGTGTGTGCTGCTGCTGCTCTGGCTGTGCTCTAACCTTCTCGCTGCTTCTCTGGCCTCCTCACAGGGGACAAATTCCGCCTGGTCATCGCCAGCACCTTGTATGAGGACGGCACCCTGGACGATGGCGAGTACAACCCCACGGATGATCGGCCCTCCAGGTACGGGGCCCGGCTGGGACCCCTGCCCACGGGGACGAGGGACAGAGGGGAGTGCTGAGGCTGAATGTTTCAGGTTGGACACGAAGAGGAATTTCTTCATGGAGGGGGTGATTAAACATTGGAGTGGCTGCCCAGGAGGACGGTGGAGTCCCTATCCCTGGAATTGTTTAAAGAAAGGCTGGGTGTGGCACCCGTGCCATGGTCTAGTTGACAAGGTGGTGTTCAGTCACAGGCTGGACTTGATGATCTGAGAGGTCTTTTCCAGTCTAGTTGACTCTGTAACTGGAGGTACCTTCTCCCAGAGGACACTGAGCTGGGGGAACGGCCAGGTTTGATTCCTTGCTGACCTCAGGCTGTGCTGTTGCAGGGCAGACCAGTTTGAGTACGTGATGTACGGCAAGGTGTACCGGATCGAGGGGGACGAGACCTCCACGGAGGCGGCCACGCGCCTGTGAGTGCCTGTCGAGAGTGGGGGGACACGGTGCCCGGGGTAGGGAGCGCTGGGATCTCGGCTCGGGTCTCCCATGGGGTTCCCTGCTCTCACTGCTCCTCTCCTCCCACCTCAGCTCTGCCTACGTGTCCTACGGGGGGCTGCTCATGCGGCTGCAGGGAGACGCAAACAACCTGCACGGGTTTGAGGTGGACTCGCGCGTTTACCTGCTGATGAAGAAGTTGGCCTTCTAGCACACCTCCATGGGCTGCCCCACAGACATCCAGCTGAAGCCCTGAGAGCCCACATTCTGCTCCAGCATCCATGCTGCCCAGCCTCCTCAGGGCTGAGGGGGCAGGAGGAGTCCCCCTCCTCATCCCTTACTCTGACTTCTGATTCCTGCTGGGATCCACATCTGTTTGCAAGGAAGGAGGTGCCTGACATCTGAGTGGACACTATGCTGGGTGCTCCAGTCTTGCCTGATGGCATCTCCTCACCTTTGCCTGTGCTCAACAGCCCTGGCTCTGGCCAGGAGCAACTGGACTGGGACAGCTGCCTGCCTGTCTCTGAGGACCATTCCCTCAGGAGCCATCCTGAGGCAGGCTGCCTTGGTTTTGATTAAACTGGGATGTTTTGTACACCTGGCTCTGCTTGCTGAGAGATGAGGCTGGCAGGGAGTGGATACACCTGTGCAGGAGCAAAGGGGGGGCCCTGACACTTCCCAAGGGATGGAGAGTCGAAACCTGCCACAGTTGGCCACAGAGAGGAGTGGCAGCTGGGGCTATGCCAGGGGATCCTGCAGCACTGGCAGCTGCCATGGGTGGGAGCAGGCACTGGGCACAACTGGGAGCTTGTCAGAGAAGCTGGCTTCTGCCCTGGGCCCAGGCACAAGGACACACACAGCTCTTTAGAAAAATAGCTCTTTAATCGAAAAGCATTCACAGTAGAAGTGCCTGCCCAGAGGGGAGCAGGGCCTGTGCCTGCTGGCCCATTGTCACTGTTTGCCTCCACATGCTGCATGGTTGTGAAGACTTGAGGAACAGGTGCCAACCCTTTCCCTGTGGGCATCTTCCTGGGCACCCAGAGCACAGCTCAGTGTCCTGCAGGATTGCTCCAGCATTGCTTTGTGGTTGATTTCTGTGTGCAGCCTCACCGGGCCCCGCATGGAGGGTCTCTGCTGTCCCCCTGACCTTGCTTGCACAAGACCTTGGCCAGGTCAGAGAAGAAGAAGCGCAGCTTGCCCTGTACCAGCTGCCGGTAGGTGAGGAAAATGCTGGAGATGTGGGTCTGCTCCATGGAGTGTGGGGAGCAGCTCGGCTCCCAGTGTCCTGCCTGAGAGTGGGACAGAGGGGTGACAAACACTTGCACCCAAGCCAGCCCAGCTGGCACCTGTGCCGGGGTGCTCTGGCCCATGTGGGGAGGTCTCACCTCCCAGCTGAAGCTCTGCAGGAGCAGGAAGAAGGAGTTGGCGTGTCGGTAAAGCTGGCTCAGCTGCCTGGCCCCACACTCGTCGCTCACCTGGCCCTGGGCCCCTGCCGCAGCACCCACCAGCAGGGCCAGGTCACACAGGATCTCCCGCCGCTTGGTCTCGTTCTGGGGGAGCAGACAGTGACCCCCAGGGCCTCATTGCTTTCTGTGCTCACCTTAGGTCTGGATGGAGTCCTCTACCCTCCCTGTGCCACCAGATATGCCTACAAGCATCTTGTTCAGCATTTCTGGTGTTTGTGCCTACCCAAGGTTCCTTCTCCAGTCCTGTTAGCACACCAGTGCCAGCACCCTCCTCCCAGCCCCTCTCACCGATTTGGATTTCCACTGCAGGAAAGTGAAGTCCACCAAGGGCAGCACTGCAGGGCACCTGAGTGCAGGCAGGGCCTGGCACTGGCCCTAGTGAGGAGAGATTTCAAGGTGAGGTGCCAGCAACTGTGCATGTCCCTGGTCTTGGGTTTTGTGGGGGACTCTATCCTCACCACTCTCTTTTCCATGTCCTTGGCCTCCATGATGTACTTCTGGATAAGCCTGTTGTCACAGACCAGCCGCGTCGGGCTGGCACGGTCCTCTTTCACGTGCAGGAGGAAGGATGTGAGGAGGAGCAGTCCTGGAAGAGATGGGGTTGCCCTGTGCATTGTGCCAGTCTCCCTGGGCAGTGCCAGCCCAGAACCACCTGCAGTGGCAAGTCTTCTCCCCAGCCCTTTGGTGGTGTCGATGGCCCCGTGGAGCGGCTGCAGGGGGAGGTGTGAGCGGCTGAGGAGGGCCCGGTGCTGCTCTCCAGTCAGCCAGCGAGGGGTGCCGGTGCTCGCGGGGGAGAGCCGGGCTTGCACTGGTGTGTGCCAAGGGGCCGCACAGCCCTGTCTGCCAGGTTTTAAGGCCATGCTCCAGGCAAAGAAGCAGGGCTGTACTCCCTGTGCAGACCAGGGCCAGCTCTCCGGATCCCTGCCAAGAGCAGTCCCAGGCGTCATGTGCACTTCGGGGAATCCCAGCCTGCAGTGTCCCACAGGGAACATCTGCTGCTGGCCGCTGCCCTGGCCGAGTGCTCCTCTGCCAGCACTGCCTTCCCCAGTGCCGCTGCACACCGCCGTGCCCAGCAACTGCCCATCCTGCCAGCTTCTCCATCCCGCTCTGCATCCTCCTGCCTGCCTCACTGCCTGCCCTGGCACTACACCAAAAATGCTCAGGATGGGCATGGAGAGATGCTTGGTTGCCCTCACATGCTGGCAGCGGCCAGGTCCAACTAGCCCAGAGCCACCCTTGGGGTTCGATGCCCATCTGTGGGATTCATCGTGCAGGGGACGCTCTGGCTGTGGGGCCACAGTGCCCACTGTCCCTTCCTGCGCACCCGGTCCCCGCTTTTAGCCGCACACTCACTGTTCAGCTCCATGCTCGGCTGGGGGCTCCGGCCCCGCATCTTCCACGCTGGGGCCCGCGGCTGCTCCCCGGCTGCCGCCGCCCTTCCATGGAGGGCAGCGTGGCGCGGGCTCCCCGCGGGCCGCGCAGCCAGGCCGGAGGCCGGGACCGGCGGCGGCCCCGGGACACGGCGCGGCTCCGCGGCTCCGGCCCGGCCGCCCAGCCGAGGCAGCACGATTTCCTGTTGTGTCGCCGCTGACCTTCCAGCTAAATCGCAGCGGGGGCCCCGGGCCCGGGGGAAGGCTTCCTGCCTCCGGCCGCTTCCTCCCTTGGCTCGGGGCACGGGAAGGGCGTCCCTGGGCGCCCTCCGTGGCTGCTCACCTGGCCCCGGGCCTGAGCGCTCAGCAGCCAGCGCTCAGTGCTCGGTGCCTCAGCCGGGCCGGTCCGGGGGAGAAGGTGGCCCTGGTACCTACAGAGGAGATGGTCTCAGTGATCCTGCGCTCGACAGCCCCGGGAACATCAGCCCTAATGTAGTCCTGCTCCTGGCTGTGGCAGCCAGGTACAAAAGCCACAAAAACCCTCTCCCAGAGGTGGACCATAATCTGGTGATCCTCTTCCAGAGGTGGACTTCATCCGTGGTGACATTTATCCAGTCAGACCCCATCCCTGTTGACCCTCATGCTCTGACCCCTGTATCCACCAGAGGTGACTCAGGGAGCTGGAGCCCCCCAGGATGGCTGTGGTTCCTGGGATCCCTCTGGGCTGGGGAGGGCTGTGGATCACAGGGGTCAGGGCTGGTGCATAGCCCCACGGCTGTTCCACATGGGGAATTGGTTGGGAGTGGGCTGAGTGAGATGCCCCTCCCTGGGTAGGAGAAGCACCAGGACCTGTTCAGCACCATACCCTGGCATGGCTGTGACATTCCCTGGCAAAATCAGCTCTGGCTGGGCACTCTGGCAGGGGGTGCACATCCCCATGCCCGTGTGTACGTGTGTGTCCCCTCGTACTGCACACGGGTACACACCCACCATGTGCACCCTCAAACCTACGTGTACACACGTGCACTTCCCTGGCACGCGCCGGGCCTGCGCTCACATAACCCCGGCAGCCCCCCACGGCTTCCTTTGGGGGACACCCCCCTCCCAGCACACATCCTCTCGCTGCTGTCTCCCTGCAGCGCCTGGTTTCCTTCTCACACCCCGGCTCTCGCACTCTCGCACGTTCCCACTCCTGTCCCCAGGGACAGTAGTTCCCGGCAGCGCCTGGCCGGGTGACAACAGTTAAAGTAAACACCCCAGCCCCGCTCCACCTGCCCCATGCCCTGCTCAGCCCACAGCAGCCCACCTTGCAGAGTGCCTGGCTGGGGGGTCCCGTGGGTGCAGGGACGAGACTGGCAGCACCGGCCCGCCTGGGCACATCTGGCAGCAAAGGGACCCGTGAGCACCGGGGTCAAACACCTCCAGGCTTCCCGCACGGCCGTGGCCCTTTTCTGCGGACGTGACAAGCTGCAATCACGACCATCAACACCCTCAGCCCCTCTGCCAGCGCTGGCCTCAGGCCCGCTGCCGTCCCCATGCCAGTCCCTGCCATGGCCCCACCATGTCCATTCCCTGTCCCTCCCTGGGTGCAAAGTTATTTGCGATGCCAGGCTGGAGAGCTGCAGTGCCCTGCATTCCTTCTTGATTAGGCAAACAAACCCACCAGGGGAAACTGGAGAGCATCTGGAAACTGGAGGTCTAATGGATCCCCATGGCCAGCCTAAGGTACCCACAATAGTCCCTTTACTCCAAAATATTCTTTACAACAATGCCAGAAGCTGGCAGGCAGCATGAGCCTGTGCCCGTGGGCAGCCTGGTATTCCTCTGCTGGAAAGGGCAATGCCAGCTTGTGCTGCCCATGCCGGGGGGGCAGAGGAGGATGTGGGGGGGAGCTCCTGCTTCTGGCCCCAGCCCAATCCCACGGATGTTGCGTGCTGTAGAGGGACAGAGTACGGGGACAGTGAGTGTGGCACAGGGACCCCAGAGCGACACGGGGGCTCCGGCCAGGCAGCCCGGGCTCTGGCAGGGGACAGGAAGCCAGGCGGGGGCCGCGGGGCTGCACAGCTGGCCGGATCCCGGTGCCAAGATTCCCACCTCTCCTTACAGGGTGCAAAGTGCTGGGAATCCGACTG